TATGTCTTTTCAATTATGTTAAAAGTTTTGCTTTATATTTAAGAAAAAATCCTTTAGCTTGATTTTTAAAGCCAAAGATCAAGTGTTATTAAATTAATGTTAAGTCTATATCAGACAGTTTCATCAAAAGCAACGGGAGTCCACAACATGTGAGGAAACGAAATTGATAACTTTAATTATTTTTGGTTAGTAGGAAGTACAACGTTTTGCTCTAGTCTTGATTTTTCAGTAAGGAAGTTTCCATATTTTCATAGCAGATATCGGATAAAAGGATAAGAAATCTCAGTTTTGTTAAGTAGTTTTCACATCACCGTAGAAACGATCAATACATCTACAATATAATTTTCATTGGTCAAATTTCTGAGCTTGCATTAATGCTCCCTTTGACCCCCTACCTATCTAGAGGAAGCTCCTTGTTTACCCACACTTTGCACCTAATCTCTGACTTCCCACTAGCTTACACATTAGTAGCACTACTGAATTAAATTTCCCCTCAGATTCCAAAAATCCCCTGTCGTCCCCCTATTAGTCCCTGACATTTTCCTGTCTCTCCCTGACTTTCTCCTATGATCCCCTGTCATAGTCCCTGACTACACCGTCCACTCCCTGTCGTTCCCTGTCGTCGTCCCTGTCTGACCTGTCAACTCCCTGTTATCCGCTGACATTCTCTGATCTCCCTGTCCACTCCATGTCGCCCCCTGTCTTTGTCCCTGCCTAGGCCGTCTTCCCCTGTCTTCCCCTGACATTTATTTTGGCCAGGAAAAGGATTTTAATCTAGATCCCTGTTGCAATTAAGTGTGAAAATATTATAGTCTTGACAATTGTTAAGTTTTTTTTATATTACTACAAACTTATTAATAAGTTGGCACATATTTAAATGCCTTAACAAACTCCCATGTATTTAGTTTCCATGATTGGTATTGATTTTTTAGTTTGGTAGCTTTTCAGAAAAAAGGCGAAGAAATGCATTGATTCTAAAGAAGAGATAGATTCCTTGTTCATTGCATCTTGTGAAACTAGATGGCATGTAAATGTACTTTAAAAACAAATATCTATTTTGTTTTAACTTTTTCATTTAAATATTGATCTACCGGTACTTTGAATCATCTTTGAGCGTAATAAATGTTGATATAAAAAACTAGAACTAAATATTTGGGAATAAATGATCAAATCTATGTACTGAATATTTGTTTTCTAGTGAATTAAATAAAAAATCAAACGAAAAGAACAGTATAAAAATGCAATAATAAAATAAATCACTAAATAATAAATTAAAATAAATAAATAAATAAATAATTTATTTTATTCATTCATTCTATCAATAAAATATACTAGTATCCACAAATGAATAAATATAAATGGATAAATAAAAAGTAGGTAAACGATAAAAAATAAATTATCCTAAAATATTTTACAAAGTATTTTTAAGCATATTAAAACGACTTTCAATTATTTTACGTCCATGATGGATATCAAAATATTCGTCTCATTATGCACAGTCTTAGTTTTTTGATACTTTTACTTTGTTTTGATTGAAAAAATAGGTTTTCAAAACCCTTACACGCTTATGAAAGAATTTCAAAGCCATTTTACCAGTAACTTAGGGTACACAGTCATGGTACCTATTGTCTTTTAAACTGACCGCTATACCTTGTTAATGTTTTGAAAGAGCGACTGTGTCCACTCTGCAGCTGTTTGAAAGAACATTCTCTCTGTATGAGAACTGTTGTTTTCAATCAAAACAAAATAAAAATATCAGAAAAAGCTATAGTAAATAAAATATAATAAATAAATAAGTAATCATTATTTAATTACGTCAACCACTCCATATACATTGATTGCGCTAAACTTTGAATACGCTTAATCATGTACACATACAGTAATCTATACAAGCGCAAACAGTTTATAACACTACATTTTCACTGGATTTGAGGCCGTATTCACCGGAGTCGTCAGTGCGCGTGCAGCGGCATTGTGACATAACAATCAACGTTTTAAACGACGTTGTAAACAATGGTTACAACGGCCGAAGCCACTAGTATCTGAGCAGGACGAAAACAAACCTATCGCAGGATTATTTTTAAACATTTGGACGTCTTACACGTAGCTAAACTCAAAATGGAAATCACGGATATAAACTGTAATCTGGATATTTTTTTTTATTTTCAACAAAGGAAGGATAATGGTGTCGTCTTGCAGCATTCATTGTCTTATTTATTAATTTTCGGACTATATAATACAAAATTATGGGCTCTTTTGGTGTGCAATATGGTTTGTCGGCTTCGCTTCTGTCAATATTGATATTTTTCTCGTGAGTAACAAACCATATTCAACACCTACACCGGCATTGTGACGTCAAAATCAACACCTTAAACAACGTTGTAAACAAAAATGGTTGCAACGTCTGCAGCCAGCTATGTATCTGAGCTGCAAAAATGTTAGACAATCCTATTGCAGGATTAATTTTAAAACATTTAGTCGTTTAACTCATAACAAAACTCCGAGAGAGAAAAGGGAGGTTACAAACTGTTATCTGGACTTTTTTTAGGTTTCAACGACGGAAGTTCATAAATGAGAATGGTGTCGGCAATATTGTAATCTTTAATGTCTTATGAATCCAAATCCAGACTATATGATAAAATAATCATGGACTCTTTTGATGTTGAATATGGTTTGTTATTCACAAGGAAAATATTAATATATATCACGGCTTCGCCTTAGTCAATATTGATATTTTTCGAGACCGCATCATTCACGACAACAAAGACTTTATTTCTATTCTGCCAAGATCGATAAATGCGGCTGATCGTTTCCTCTATAGAGAAACGAATTAGGTCACCATGTCTCGATTTCGCTTTTCTATTTAACACCAGAGGTAAAATTTGTTTGCTTACCTGTGTATAGAATGCAGACGATTTGAGCTTTCGTTACATTAAAAATAGCCTTTTTAGATTATAAATTTGTTCGTGATATGTACTGATCAGTTAAAATGAATATACAATAACAAAATCATGTTCCTGTTTTACTGCTAAAATCACGTTGTTTAATGTGAAGGGAGGGCCGTCGAATAGCCCCACTTAGCTATAAAAACCGATATTCAACAGCAACTTGATGCAATTTACAGTGTTTATACTGCAAAAGACGAAACATCGATGCAGTCTAAACAAGTAAATTCTACAGCCAAACATGCATTTGAATTGTTCAGATTTGATACGTGTTTCTGATCTGAAAATTTTTTGATGACGTTCGTGATTTATTGGAGAATAATGTCCGGTGGTTTCCTTTGATGTTTTCAATAATCGTGGTAGAATAAACCACATTCAAGCACAAAAAGAGACCATAATTGTATAGTATGAAAACTGTCAGTGAGCATTTGACTCAATAATAAATTGTATTTTCTGACAAGGTCATTGTATTGACCAAAGAACTTATGAAATGATGGCTTTAAACGGGACTGCTGAACTTCGTGTTTCATCAACTTTATATCTCGTATTGTTCATACGTTTACAAAGCATGCTCTTCCGAATCGAATCTGAGATATACGAGAGGTTATCAAAAAAATCGTGACTGGCTCTATAAAATTAAAACCGCCTTAGGTATAGTAATGAATTTTAAAATATTTAGTAAGCACAATCTTTTCTATCACAACCACAAATCATAGATTTTATTTTTAAAGAAATTAATAATGTTTTTGTAAACAATGGTTTGTCTTGGCAGTGCAACCTCGCAAATGACGTTTTTTCGCCTTCGGGTATTACTGAGGAAAATTCCTTTGTTATGAATATCTGACAAAAAAAATCATTCGGTAAATTCTATAAAATGTTGTACATTTTGTTTGGAGTGTCCAAACAATTAAGGGCTTTCAAATGACGTCAAAAGGGGGGAGTGGGTTCATTTTCCACTATTTCATAAAGTTCTGCGCCTGTAAAAACTGTTTTACACCTAAAAAAAAGTTAAATCTGGCTACAGGGAAATAAAATGCATCCAGAGGACTTGTTTTTAATGCCAAAATAGATTCCGAGAGAAAAGGACTGAACAGTTTATGTTGATTTGTACTCAAGGTATGAAAAGTCAATCACGTCAAAAAATGGCTTTGGTTATTTATGGTTGATAGAGAACTCAAAAGCAAACTGGGCTGGTACAATCAAGCAAGGATCTCTCCCAATGTATAAATCCACATGCAATATCATATGCATTGAAAGCAGCCTTTCATGACATCATAGATGCATACAAACAAGACGGGTTTAAGTCCTTATTCAACTCCAGGAAACTTCATCAAGATTAGTGTATGAGGTAGAAGTATCGGACTTCCAAAATTATGACGTTTTTGGGATGTCATAAAATTAAACGACGACAGCGCGGGGTGATCATATAATGTCGTTTTAATTTTATCATAATTTGGCAAGTAATGAACGTATGAAGTTAAAAATTTCAACAATTCTTTATTTTTTGTTGTTTTATGTTCCTTGCAATTTTTGAAAGCACAGACTACGTAGTATTAATTTTATCGCCTCAGTCCACGAACTTTTTGATAACCCTCGTAAACACCGTATGCAGGTGATGAAGATATATTGCTGCATAAGTAAGGGAAGCTGACGATATATCATAGAGCTAGGTTGTAAGTTTACCATCACGTATATTTCAAGTAAAATATCCAGATATAAAACAAATAAGTCAGACTCTGTGGGATCTTTTATTTTAAGATACTCAGGATATATCGTATTAACATAAGAATAAAAGCTGCCATTGTTAATTGACATCACGTCGTGGCATTGTTAATTGACACTACGTCGTCAATATATCTAGATATCGAGTTGAAAGCCACAGCAAGTACGTTTTTTTCACGGTTAAGATTTTGCACAGTTTCTGCTCCATATAATAACGGGGCACCATTGGCACTATGGGGTATTTTAAAAGATTGTTGAAAGGCGGTCTCCCCGAACAACATAGATGTAGTCTATAGTCCGCGCATGTTGAAATGATTTTGAAATATATTTCAGTCTCTTTGGAAGAGATGGTGAGTGGATTTCGTTTCCAACAATTGCAGCTGTCAACAACAATGATGAACGCTAGTATTCACGCGAGACTTCCCGAAAAGTTGGCTTCTGCAGAGGCACAAGAGGCGGATCAAAGGGAAGCAAAAGGTTTAATTCTTATTTATAAAAACAAAATTGTCTTATATTGTGAACACAAGCGCTTGACGTTACATATTTTTCTTTTGTAAAGAAAAAAAATCACCTCATACCCCAAAAGGGGGTTAAAAACATGTCAAATTCTTGTGGATCTGAATGATGAATTTCTATTAGGATGTTCAATATCCCACCTTCTGCAATCATCATTATTAATTTCTGACACAATTTGTCACTTTAAACCCAACAATTGTGAAACTTTGACACTTTATATGCAAACTTTGAATGAAAAATGAAAATCTATTAGATTAAACCCCTTTGATCTTATAAGTTTTACTTACATATACTATACTATCTATACTATGCAGTATATATTTATAAACATAACTAAGTGCCTTTTATAAAAGTTTTTTTGTGCGCCATCTATCCTTAAGCATTTGACATGTTATTACATTGATGGATGTTTGCTCCAGATAATTTTTTACCCAAAAGTGTATTTCCTTGAATTTTCAAATAAATGCAGATTTTGTTTTCAGTAAAATGGTTTCAGAAAATTTTGCTAATATATATAATATATAAGTGTTTTAGCAGAGGAAAAAATACGAAGAACAGTGTCTGCATTTATTTCAATAAATTTTGAAAATACAAACAAGACTTTTGGCTTGAACTACGAAACTTTCTTTTTTTTTTTTTTTGACAGGGAAGGAGAATGACATACAGTAGATAAAGTTATCATAGGCACTTAAATCTTTTCCTCTATTTAAGATGATATCTTAGCAAGAGTAAATGATAGAAAAAAATCTTTTATATGCGTTGGCGAGTTGAGAGAAATAGGAAATTGGCAATGGACCCATTATAAAAAATAAACGTTGTATACAAACTGTCTGTAAGCATCTTACAAATCAGAGAACTCGAGAGAATTTAAGAGAGCTCTTGATCGGTATACTAAAAATGCAAAAATCGATCATTATTTAAATCTTTGATGCTTTCTCCCAAAAATGGAAATCATTGTCGCCATTATAAGTAAGAATATTCCTTGTAATAAAACGCATTAAATTCGGTGTGTTTCCCTTTTGAGAAAGTTCACCTTAAAAATCATATAATTGACTAAGTCGTAGATGTATTTATTTTGTATTTCAACCCACTGTACGCATTACTTTCGTGGTGAACGATTGCTATTATTGCGTAACTGCAGCAATTGATTTTATTGTCCCCCGCTTGAAAAGTGGGGGATATTAATTTGGGTTTGTCCGTCCGTCTGTCCGTCCGTCCATCCGTCCGTCTGTCTTTCTGTCTGTCTGTAACGCTTTCGTTTCCACGGAATATCTCGAGAACCCTTTGAGCTATTGCAATGAAATTTTACATAACAACTCCCTGTGGCCTAAGGAAGACCCTTATTGATTTTGAAGTCAAAAGGTCAAAGGTCAAGGTCATAAATAAGCAAATTCTGTCTGTTAAAACACTTTCGTTTCCACACGATATCTCTAGAACCATTTGAGCTATTGCAATGAAATTTTATATAACAACTCCCTGTGGTTTAATGAAGACCCCTATTGATTTTGAGGTCAAAAGGTCAAAGTTCAAGGTCGTAAATTTATACATTCTGTCTGTGTGTAATACTATTATTTCCGGGCGATATTTCAAGAAGATTTTGAGCTTATGCAATGTAATTTTATATCAAAACTCCCTAGAACATCTCTCGCCCCTCTCAAAGTGCCCCGCCCCGTTTCTTTTATTGGTATTTATAGTATTACATGTCGCTATTTTTAGCACAGGGGCATGAGGAGAGTTATTGCGTATAAAACAGGTTCTCGGCGGACTTTATGTTCTTATTACATCTATTAGAAGTGTTAAATAAAGGCTAAATAAATCAAACACCATGGATTGTGTAAAATTTTGAGAATACCGGACATGAATATATACATGTATGTGACTTCACTTCTGCATATACTTCACGCCATGTAAAGCGATTCCGTGGTCTAGTGGTTAAGTCTCTCGCTTCAAATGTGAGAATCTCGGTCGAACCTTTCTTTTTTTTCTTTTTTTTAACTACTTTTTTTTATTACTAAATGATAGTATTCAGCATGTGAAATGAAAAATTTATGAGGTTATAAAATCATCATTACAATGTGATAAAAATTCCATATAAAAAATCTTCTATACACATAATGAAGAATAAGCAATCAAATCTTTATATGCATATTGACATACATGTATTTTATTTGCTTCAGTATACATGTATATACATTTAATAATTCTACAAATTCAGTCAGGGGGAGCCGACTTTTTCCCTAAGCGGGGTACAAGAATTCTCTGAATTAGCTTGTTTTATCAGCTTTAATTGATAATGCATTTTTTGAAAAATTAAATGCATATGTCTGCAGATACATACCTTATCTGGAGCTCTGTAGTTGCATGAAGTGAAAAGAGAAGATTATACTTCTTATTTTGCCGAGGAATTAGAATTGTTTATTGATTTAATTAATTCTTACATGTATTTCTAAATTAAGAATATTTACGTGCAAGTCTGTGTACAGGGTTATTTTCCCCCATGTAATTTTCGCCTTTTCACACATGCAAACAATTTTGCTCCGTTTGAAATTCACCCATTCATAGTTTTATAAAAGGAATTATGTTGAATTCTTTGAATTCGCACCGTTTAAAATTCGCCCAAATGAGGGTAGGGCGAAAGGGGCGAAAATAAAACGGAGGCGAAAATTTCCCTGTATACAGTTTATTGATTTAACACCATTATCTTCTATTGCAGCATTCAGAGCCTTTCATGAAGCCCAGACTCCATTTATCGCCACAACATCGCTCTACAACTTAGGGTACATAGGTCGTGGTTATGATTTATTCAAGGGGAACCCCCTCAGTGACGACGGGGTGGTGGATCAAGGATTTCGCCTCCCGATCATGGAATTACCCTACACCCACAAGTTTACTGCCGACGGAGAATATCGGATTCCAGATAATGTTGATGTCATTGCAGAATCAAGGTACTAATTGATAGATTAATTCATTAGTGTTTGACTTATCCATTATATATGTGGTAAGGTTTTTTATTAATTTATTTTTTTTAAGCGCTGATATAAATTTGAATAAACTCAGTACAGATTCGAAACAGAAAAAAAACATACACTAGAAGAAACACGTAGAATGAAATAATAAAGAACACTGACGATTGGAAGTATTATTTACATACAAAAGACAAGTACATTTTTTTCTTCTACAGCGCCAAGTTTGGATCCTCTTTCTATTCAGTGCAGTCGGAGTCGGACTATAAAAGAATGTTGAGTGTGGACGCCTCGGTATATCTTATTTTATCTACTTTCGTTTTCTTTATAGTATACACAAGTCAAATCAATTTTATTTCATTCTTGCTATCTCTTGACAAGATGTGTATTAATATGATTATATTCATATTTCCCCTATGATTCTTAAAAAAAATGCAGTATATTTTCTCATGAACTACATTATCAAGGTCAGGAATCAGCATGAATATCTCCATTGTTACGTCATAATACCGGCACTTGACGTCAAAAAATATAGTCCACACTGATTTGCTTTAAAAATGACAGATGAATGGCGAAAGTTTTTGAAAAGTCATTAGAAAAATAATGTAAATATAAGAAATTAATTTATTTTTTGAAAATCATTAGGTTTATGAACTTCAACGCTTCATTCCGGCATATTTGTTATGAAGAGCTTACGCGCTTCATGAAATATGTCGGCGTGAAGCGTCGTAGTTCATAACCTCATGAATATTCAAAAATTAAATTCATTTCTTAAATGAAAACTATATTTAACAACTTGCTTATTAAATTTCATAAGAGCCAAGTAGCGACTGTTGATTGAAAATAGCTTCAAGGCTTATCGAAACAAAGTTAAGACAAAATTAAACGGAATGATAATATTTATTTAATGTATATCACTTCTACAAAAAATCTCTTCCGAAAATACCAAATCAGATAATTGTTTTTAAAAATCTTTTTGTTGAATTTTAATTTGAGTATCAAAATATATTACAAAGCCAATTTTCACATTTTAAGCACGTGTCTTTAATTGAAAAGTAGGAAAATATTATGTTAATTTTTCTTAGGTAAATGCTGCAAGGGGTGGATGGGGCGTTAGTGCCAGTTTCAGTGCCAGTGCATCTTATCAAAAAAATACGCGGGAAATTCATAAAGGGGAGACAACAACTTTAAACATTGTCAGCCGAGCTGTGGCATACAGAGCTCGTATGTCCGAGACCGCCAAAATGTCAAAGGTAAAGACTCTTTCTGTTGAATGATTATGAATATAAGTCTTCTTTTATTATACACTATACGATGGATTATCTGATTTTCTTAGGTAAATGAATACGTTGAGAAAGCTGTGATGTTGCTGCCTATGGAGAATTGTGAGGACGAATCATTGCAAGAAATGTACCTCAATTTTATACGCGAGTTTGGGACCCACTACACAACCCAGGTAGTCATGGGGGCAAAAGCAGTTCAACAGCTTACCTTTGACAAATCTGACCTTTCAAGACTGGAATCGGAAGGTATTAGTGCTAAGGTAAGACCTATAATAAGAACATGCATGTAACTTCAGTTTGGAAAACTATAGGCCACAGTTTGCTCTCTCGAATTTTGTATACAATGAAACAGACATATCAATATATATTTTTTTATTACATGTGGGCAATTTGAATTTTATCAATCACAGCATTACATCATAAAAATGCTAAGAGCTAAAATGATCATCTCCTGTACTGATTTGATACTAGAAATAGCTACAACCTGTTTATGGGTTCCCTAATGTACCTCTTGGGTTTGCATTTTTCATCTTCAATATTTGATATTTTCCGTTCTTGTTAAACATATTAATGTGTGTATTCAAAGGTCGCCTTTGTTATTATATTGGTGAAGCTTGAAATAGTTTTACTTTTAATAAACTGTATTCCTAGGTAGCTGCACAAGCCTCCTTCAGCGGATTAGGTGCCTCGGGCGGTGGAGGGTTCAGTGTGGGGGTTGGCTCCAAAGAGGAGTCAAAAGAGCGTGTGCAAAATACCAACAAAGAACAATATGAATATTACATCGGCGGGAATCCACCATCCGGGGATTTTTCATTAGGAAGTACCGAGAGTTTACGAGAATGGGCGAGATCTGCAGATGAGAAACCGGTACCGATTCAGTACAGACTGACCTCCATTGAGACGCTCTTGAAGCCTGGATACTTTAAAGATATTACTTATGGTATATGCCATTATTTACATGTGTAAAGTATTTTGGGTGTAATAAGTTTTGAATTCGTTGGCTTGTTTAGTCATTTTTAAGGATATAAATAATAATTTTCTTCATCATCGCTTTGTTTACCTTTTTGGCCCTGCATAGTAGGTTGAGGGGTGGGGAGGGGGATCTAAATCAATAAGATTTAATGCGATGTGTGACAAAATCATGTTTTAAGCATGCTTAGTTAGCAGTGTTTTCTTTCTATGAAAATATCAAGAGTTGATTTTGATAAAAATTGCCTGTGCAGAACTTGTGCTTATGTAGTAATTAAATGCTTACAAATTTATAGAATTCACATATTTAAAACTGAAAAAAATTAACACTGAATATATTTATATCTGGTGAGTATAATCTTCAATTTCAGGTTTGTTTGAAAGACGTCAATGTTTACGTCGGGCCCTGTATACTTACTGTAAGTCGACGGCATCTCCTTCCCTGTGTAATCCGCCAGACGGCGCTTCTACGACTCTTACTTCACGACGCAAACGACAGGCCGAGGATGTCAAAAGGTTCAATGATGGTATAAAGTAAGGAACTCTGAAAAAAACATCACCTGACATATTTTTATGATATATGTTTCTACAGAGGGTGCGGATATATTGTTATTTATCGAGTTATACATGTGTACAAAGATAAATTAATGTCATTATTATTTTTGTGTCATTTGAAAGAATAACATAATATACATGTAGATATACGTATTCGTTTATCGATGAATAATACTGAATTTTTTTAAGTTTTTATGCGATCACTTAAATGAATTTTCACAATAAAATGATTTCTTTGGTTATAAAAACGTGAATAAATTTAGCAGAAAATGCATAGCCCGTGTATTATTATTATTATATAGCACATTTTACAACAACTCTTAAACTAATATAACTGCCCTAAGTAAAGAAATATTGATGTAGAAAGCACAAAGAAATACAATTTTATATGGATACCCATTTCCGCCCCCAGCCCGGGGTTTTACTCTCGACCTTCGGAATCTGTCTCCTAGCAGTGCTGGAAAAGCGCGCTAGACCGCTCGGCTATCTATGAGAGTAAAAAACTTGCTTTCGATGCCGATGGAATTCTCCAAACGCTATCCTACACTACACATTCATTGAGATTAGAAGTGAGATACAGTTATTTGGACATTAGTTTTAACAGAGGATTATTACCAATGCACGTTGTAATGAAATTAATTATTATTTATGAAGCACACTTTACAACAACTCTCAAACTAATATAACTGCCCTAAGTGCAGAAATATTGTATGGAAAGCACAAAGAAATACACTTTTACATGGATACCTATGCACCTACCACCATCCCCCATATATATATATATATATATCCTCGTGAAGCTAATTAACCCATTATCAACACACATGCTACTGTTTCTAACAAACAGTTGTTTAAAAAAAATGGTAATTAACTTTCAGGTTCGGTGATTTTGTCACTCTTCGGAACAGAAATTCTACGAAATATTTGGCGTTGTCCACCTCCACGGGATACTTATATGGGACAGTCACGAAACCACTCGTGCAAGGTATGGAGGGGGGAAAGGGAACAGGGCTAAACATCTATCGTCTATATGAACACTATAAGGTTTGAAATGATTTTAGAATCTTAAAAAGAAATGAAGAATTAAATTTGGTCTTAAGTCGTAAGTATTTTTCTAAATTTTATATTTCACTTTTCGCACAAAAGTTACATATTCTGAAATTTGTTTTCACCTGTAAACTTTGACTGAATGTGATGTGTCTATATTTGTTTTTGTTTTTTTTTTTATTATTGAAATATCACTAGTATTTTCCAAGTATATTTCCAATTCCAGTTTTTTTTATTTTTGGCATTTTTAAAAAATCTTCGCAAGAACCATTGAGACAGAAAAGATGAAACTCATTTGAAATCATCCTCAGGTAGTGTAGATTCAAGTTTGTTCAAATCATGACCCCCGGGGGTAGTGTGGGGCCACAATGGCCGATCAAAGTTTTACCTAGGAATATATAGGAAAAATCTTCTCAAGAACCCCACTGAGACAGGAAAGATGAAACTCGTGTTAAATCATACCCAGGTAGTGTAGATTCAAGTTTGTTCAATACATACGTTGGGGCCACAATGGCCAACCAAAGTTTTACATAGGAATAAATTAGGAAGTCTTTTATAATCTCTTTCTCAAGTACTGCAAAGCTATGATTAGTGAAATTTATATGGAAGCATCCTCGGGTAGTGTAGATTTTAGTTTGTTCAAATCATGACCCCCGGGGAAAAGTTGGGGCCACAAAGGCCAATATAAGTTTTATATAGGAATATGTTTGGAAATCTTTTAAAATCTCCTTCTTAAGTACTGCAAAGTCATGATTAGTAATATTTATATGGAATTCTATCACGATTATTGAAAACATCAAAGGAAACCGCCGGACATTATTCTCCAATAAATCACGAACGTCATCAAAAAATTATCAGATAGAAAACACGTATCAAATTAAAACAATTCAAATGCATGTTTGGCTGCAGAATGAAATACTTGTTTAGACCGCATCGATGTGTAGTCTTTGAGAAATAAACACTGTAAATTTCATAAAGTTGCTGATGAAGTCGGTTTTTATAGCTAAGCGGGGCTATTCGACGGACCTCCCTACACATAAAACAACGTGATTTAGCAGTAAAACAGGAACATGATTTTGTTATTGTATATTCATTTTAACTGATCAATACATATAACGAACAAATTTGTAATTTAAAAAAGGCTATTTTTAATGTAACGAAAGCTCAGATCGTCTGCATTCGGATTTCCATACACAGGTAAGCAAACAAATTTTACCTTTAAATGGTACAGCGTATTCGAGACATGGTGATCTAATTCGTTTCTCTATAGAGGAAACGATCAGACATATTTATCGATCTTGGTAGAATAGAAATAAAGTCCTTGTTGTCGTGAATAATGCAGAATAACCTCCTCGGTCTCGAAATGTTGTTTGAAAAAAAGCCTCAACTAACTCCTCGGCTTTTATCTTTCAAACATTTCTCGACCTCGGATATTCTGCAACATTCACGAAAACGCTGACTTTATTTCTTGAGCATCCTCAGGTAGTGTAGAATTAAATTATTAGGTTCATATCATAATCCCAAAGGGTAGGATGGGGTCTCAATGGTGAACGAGTTTTACAATAGGAAAATAAAGTGGGAAATCCCAAGAACAAGAAGGCTATGTTTAGTCATATTGGCATGAAAGCATTTTCATGTATTGAAGATTTAAATTTGTTTAAAGCATGACCCTTAGTGGTATGGAGGGAAACAACGGGGGATCAAATTCAAATTATAACGAAATAATATATACAAACAAAATAAAAAATCTTTAAAACCTTTTTCTCAAGAACAGCAAAGTTATATGCTGTATTCATATGGAGGCATTCTCAAGTAGTATTAAAATTCAAGGCCTTCACCCCAACCCCTGTAAATTGTGCTTTTTAATAGCCGGTGTGCTCAGATGAACAATGTGGCCCCTGGGCCTCTTGTTAAATATTGCGAAAATCACTATTTCTGTGCATTGTTGACTTCTAGAAAAAATTCAAAAAAAATTCAATGGTCAAATGAAAGATTGTATTGATTGATTGTATATTGTTTAACGTCCCTCTCGAGAAATTTTCACTCATATGGAGACGTCACCGTATGCCGGTGAAGGGCTTCAAATTTTGACCTATACTCGGTACTCAGGGCCATTGAGCAGTGAGAGATCTTTATCCTGCCACTGACACGGGGCCTCGGTTTTTAAGGTCTTATCCGAAGGACCCGCAACTTTCACTTCAAAGCGCATGGCGAAAGAACAGTTGCTACCCATTTTAACGACTAGGTCGGTCGCGGCCGAGATGCGAACTCACGACCTCCCGATCAGGGAGCGAGCGCTCTACCGACTGAGCTACCGTGAACAGTTCATATGAAAGAAGAATGATTGGTGTTAAGATACTATTTAATATCAGTAGAATTGTTTGCTTTTAAGAACATCTGATTTTAGGTCAACCGAGTAAACTCGGCTATTGCTTTCCTTTTTGTCCTTCGTCGTGCGTCGTGCGTCGTGCGTTAACATTTTAAACATTTTTCAGCTTCTTCTCTGCAATCTCTCAACCAATTTCAACCAAATTTGACATAAAGTATCTATGGGTGAAGGGAAACATAAATTGCGAATTTCATGGTCCCTGCCCCCCAGGGGGTTGAAAGGTGGGGCCAAAACCACTAAAATTAATGCAATCTATAAATATCTTCTTCTTTACTCCTAGACATCAAGCAGTCAAACTGTTGCCATGATTGTAATCAGTATTGATTCCTCTATTAAAATTGTGAAATTCATGGTCCCTGGGTCAAAGGTTCTAGTGTTAGGGCGTGCTTTATTGATTATATGGTAAAATTGCATAAAATCTTTGAAAATTTTCTTTTCTGCTCGATCCTGGACATTAAATAATCTAACCAAGTACATAGTAATGTTGAATAAGGCTGCCTCTACCAAAATTATGGTCCCATGAATTTCATGGTCCCTTGCTCAGGGGTTCTAGAGCTAGGGTGCACTATATTGATTATATATGGTGAATTAAATTGAATAATTCTTTGAAAATCATTATCTCTGCTCCCGGGCATTAAATAAACTAACTAAGTAGATATTTATGTTGAATGAGGCTGCCTCATCCCAATTTGTGAATTTCGGGCCCCCAGGGTCCGGGGTTCTTGTGTAAGCTAGACTGGGGCTCAAATAATTATATAGTGAAGTGCACAAATTCTTTGAAGATCTTTTCCTTTGCTCATGTTTAATATGCCAATGATCTAATTACACATCTACATATTTAAGGCCAGCATTTTTTTTATATTTAGGTTTACAAACCCGCCGGTCAAGTTTTTGAATTTTTAGGGAAAAAAAATTGAAAAAAAAGAAGAATTTTTTCTTCCCGATGTCAAATTTGAGTCGGGATCGAGATTTCAAATTTACGAACTCGTACCTCCGGTTGTAAGATGGACATGGCGGGTTAATAAATGTAGATCTGAAAAGTTCCATTAGACATATGTCTATGAAAGTTTATAGCAGCACTAATGGCTTGGATAAGTGTAAAATTTTATAAATAGGAGTGTCATTCAAAACGTTTCACCCGTTCAGAGGACAAATAAAATGCTGACGACTTTGTTGCACAATGACGTGCTGGTGAGATAATTATGTTTTCATATTCAAAAGTATCTGACTGCAAATTATTTTCCTCCCATGGGTTTAAAACTGCCCTCGGTAGCTATTGCCAGCGACATTGTTTAGGTCTCTGCTATAGTTTACAGTCTAAGCATCATTCTTCAGAAAAGGGTCGCTTATGAATCAGATGTAAGGAATAAAGCTAGGGGAGAAGTTAAGTTCATTTGAGGAAGAAATAAACAATAGCCTGAAGAAATTAAAAAAAAAATTCAAGTATTAAAAAGCAAGCATATACAAATATGTACTGGCATTTAGTATGGTTTGTGGGCGCCAGAAAAATTTTACACTTAATTGAAAAATTGTTTAACCTACTCCTCAATACTCCCTGTCTGCTTTATAGTAAGAATTATAATTTTATGCATCAAGTATATTTTAGAACAATTTCTACACATTCTCCTGACACATATTTAAAAAATTAAGATATATTGAAAGAATGTTTAAGAATTAATTTTTTGAAATCTAATTTGATCAACATCACAAGATTTATATCACTGGCCCTAACTGGCAGATTATGAAATAAACAATTAAATGTTTAACTTTCCTATTTGTAACAATTATGTGTCCAGTGGCAAGGAGTTTGTTAGGATAGCATAAAAAAGAAGCAAAAATGAATACATGTACAAAAGTCGATAATTTATCCCAAAAAAATATTTTTTTTTTTATTTTCTCCTCCTACGGGACTTTTTCATTTTGATGTTTATAACTAAACCTGAAAATTACATAATGCTGGCCTTATGATGAAGAAAGGTGTCTCTTTCAAAATGGTCAATTTCAGGGCCCCTGGGTCAGGGGCACGGGGGGGGGGGGTACTTGGCCCCTGGGCCTCTTGTTTGTCGATCCGAGGTGTTGTTTGCTGTGAAATCAGTTGTAACCATCTTAACGTACCTTAGTTTGATTGTGACTTTTAATTCCAAGGCCAAGGTCATTAAAAAAAAACTTGATTTCAACTCTTGAAATTGAACACAGCTATATATAATGACGTTTTTACTCTTGCGTCAAGGTCAATTATCAAAGTCAAAAGTCTAGGTCATTTTTTAAAAATACAAATCTAAGCAATTTTGAAACTTTTTCACTGACTTTGACCTTGACCTTATTTTCAAGGTCAAAAAATCTCATGCAGTTGTCTCCATGTCTTTACGACTTGTCCTTAAGAAGAATTTTAATTCTTTGTAATCATAAAACTAAATTCAAGGGCAATAACTACTCAAAAGAGTTAAATCCTTTTGTACAGGAAGATTTTCGAGTCTGCTAAATAAGTCGAAGACTTTATTAAAGGTACTTAGACACAGATTTGAAGCTATTATTTTCTCTATAATATTACGACTTACATATTTTAATAGCATTTCACACAAAAATTAATAAAAAATCTTATTTCATATAAAAAAGATATTAAAACTTCAATTTTTTTGGCGGGTTGGATGACACATCCTTGCACTTTCACAAATTTATGATTTCTTGTGACTTTCATACCACATGCAAACATGTAGGTACCTGAAAATTAGGTCAACAGTTTATTTCCTGCATAATATGTTCCGCCCAAAATCTCAGGCGAACGAGCTCGTTAGATAATTGCCCTCGGATGTAAGAGTCCGAGGTATAGGGACGTTAACCGAGGCTCTTACTTGTAGGAGTAGTATACAGGTATGTATCGAGGTGCACTCATTCTTGGATTACATCAGGGATGGGGTAATTGAAAAAAGTAATTGTAATTGACTGTAATTAATTACATTTTTTGAAGTAATTGGAAGTAATTTGTAATTGAACATTTTTTCAATTACTTGTAATTGTAATTTAATTAATTACACTGAAAAAATACCTTGTAATTTCAATTACTTTTTTAATTACATTCAATTACTTTATATGATACACATGCTTGATATATTGTCACCACAACCTCCCCATTGTACTATATTTTATTGCAAAACATATTCTCATGCAGTCCTTCAATTATACAGAAGACAGATTTTTTTTTATAATAATAATGTAGTTTCTTTCTTATCATTTTATAAAATTTGATTTCTTTGTTTTATGTTTACCTGAATTTTGCACCACGATTTCTAGGTCTATTCAGCCATGAAACACACATAATTTATTATATTTCAATCTCTTTTGTTTGTTCAGTGAAGAATAAGAATATGTGTGTCAAGAAAAAAAAAGGAATGTATGTGTCATTAATGAAGTTCTCTCTTGTTGGTATTAAGAGATAATTGCCCTCCAGATCACACCTGTAAATTACAATCAAAACAAATCAACCCCTCTTGATTTAGATGACAAAGCCAATGTATGGGGATAATTATTTCAATTAAAAATGCTCTGCTAGTTTGAGAAAAGAAAAACTTTGATAATTATTTTAACATTTGCAATTTAGGATTTTACCGTTAAAAGATTACCTTTATAAGAAAAGTTTATTTTGAGGGGTTACAGTTGTGACTTATTTTTACTCTATTGAAATATCCCCTTTTAATCAAATATCATATCCAATGCAATTAGTGTACATGTAGGTTTTGTGTGGAGGCAACTGCATCAAACTCACAGATTTTGAAGAGATCTTTACTGTTTTATAAATAAAAGTTGTGATTTAAATTCAAAAAAATAAAAATGTAATTTGTAATTTAATCAATTACATTTGTAAAATAATTGTAATTTAATTAATTACATGTCTTAGAAAGCCTGTGATTTAATTGTTATTTAATTGAATAAAAGGTCAAAGTAATTGTAATTTAATTAATTACTTTTTAAAGTAATTGACCCCATCCCTGGATTACATATACATGCAAGTATCAATATTGCAAAAAAAAAAAATAATAATGATAATAACTAGATGAGATCTCGTTGCGAGCAACGAGTAGGTCTTCCGTCCGATTTTTCGATAAGATGAGAAATGATTTTTGATTATGATCTTTGTAACAAAATAATGATACCAAGACTTCTCTCACTTGATTGAATTGATTTGATTTATTTAACAATATCAAATACTTGTAGATGACAGTGCTTTGGTCCCTCTCGGTACCTTATTTGAGGTGGCCAGCCCCTTTTTCTTGATTTCAAATGAAAGGTCTCGTGATTTTGAAGACTGTTTGTTCAACACCTATTCACATATTTCTTTTCGTTGAAAGAAATCTTGAATGGTAATATTTAGGGGCCACCTATGCAAGTCCCTAATGGACCTTTTTTCAAAAACTCAAACGATGTATATTGTTTGAAACAGTATTCTGACCATCCTTTGTTCAATATGATATTGCTTATCATAATATTCGCCCCTTTTGAGATATAAACCGTCAAAGATTTCACATTTTGGCCCCTTGTGACCCCCTAATTACATAACATATGATCAAAATTTTATAATATATAGTTGCAAATCGTCAAGATAAGCATATTTTCTTCAGTAATGTATTACAAAATACTGATCGATAACGAGCTAAAGATAAAAGACTTTTGGCCCCCTTGGGCCCTTTATTTGAGGAGTCAGCCCCTTTTTCTTGATTTCAAATGAAAGGTATTGTGAATTCAAAGACTTTTTGTTCAACACTTATTCAGAGATTTCTTTTCGTTGTGGAGATATTCTGAATGGAAATATTTAGGGGCTATCCCTCCAAGTCCTTAATAGACCCGTCTAACAAAAATTTGAAGTATGCATATTGTTTAAAACATTATTCTGACCATCTTTTGTTTAATATTGCTTATCAAAATATTCGCCTTTTTCTAGATATATAACCTCAAAGATTTAGCATTCTGGCCCCTTGTGACCCCTAATTACGTAACATATGATCAAACTCTTATTATATATTGTTGGAAATTGTTAAGATAAACATTTTTGCTTCGGTAATTTATAACAAAACATTGATAGTGAACGAGTTTTAGATGCAAGTCTATTGGCCCCCTCTAGGCCCCTAATTAGAGAAGGCAGCCCCTTTTTCTTCATATCAAATGAGAAATTTCACATCTTTGAATAAATTTTCTTTTGTATGTCTTAACAAAACGTTTACAGATGAGAAGATATAAAAGAAAAGTTGTTAAATTTTATGAGATATTTTTGTGTCATTTTTTAAACACAGGTTAGCTTCGGTGCCTTTTGAGCTGAAAAGATATAGCCTCAAAATGGCACTTCTTCAATCCATCCTCTATCTACACTGAAAATCTCAACTCCATATCATAAGTCGTTTAAGTGGAGTTACCCAGACAAGCAGACCCTCTGAAAATCAGAAAATCGTCCATATCTCACGACCGGAAGTGACGATCTCAATGCAAAAAATTTCCAATAAGGTTCAGACCAATATCTATTAAATCTGAAAGTTTCATGAAAATCCATCGAGCCGTTTTTGAGAACTCGCGTGCACAAAATCGGTAAGAATATAGAAAAATAATAATAAGAAGAGGGAAAAAGAAACCGAACGAAAACAATAAGGTCTTCCGTTGGAGACGGAATACATTAATAACACAATATTGTAAAAGCACATATTTTCGTGGGTTGAAATTTTCGTGGTTTAAGAAAAAATGTTTGTTCGTTGGGATTTGATATCGTTGATAAGAAGTTTTTAGTAGTTGAATGTATGAAAATTTACATTTCGTGGTTGGCATGAATTTTTAGGTCTCCCCATACCTCGAAAACAATGAAAATTAAGCCACCACGAAAGTAAGTGATTCACGGTATCAATATATAAAATTTGAAATGTAAATAAAAACTTATTGCGTCATAATTATATACAACATTTTCTAACAGTCGACAGTATCACGAATTATGACGGACTCTTTCAAATCAAGTCTGGAGATGACGATTCCACAACACTAGGAACTCCATTGGTGTATGGTCAGAGTTTTAAACTTGTGTCAGTGGAGGTAAGTTCAAGTTTTTTCTCTCAATATTGTGTTTCACAATATTTGACTTGATGTTGTTCAGTTAGAAATCACTGCACAAAAATATAGGCTAAGGGTATGTAATGTTTAAAATTAAATCAGTTTGAACATAAAAGTCAATTTTCTACATTACGCCCGCAAGCAATACGTAGGCAAACAAATTAAAATTACATAAAATAGCACTGCTTGCATGTTCAAGCTCGGATTTATCACTAAATTACTAAATCCCCCGAAATCAGTGAAAACTCCGCATTTATATCACAGAAAGTTTAAAGGAAGTGAAAAAAATTGTAACTAGATGCTGTCATGAGACAGTAATACCCGCACTAAGGTGTTTGCCTCTAAATGCACACTTCTTCATATTGGGCTTTACCACGGAAAAAGTCAATATAATTCAATAATTTACATAATACATGTTTTATCAAATTGAGCATAATATGCTCAGGTGACCATGTGACCCATGGGCCTCCATCTAATAGGTATTTCATATTCTTAATTCATTACCAGTCTGAAATTAAACAACAGAATTAAATTAATGATGTAAATTAGGTTGATAAAGGGGGGGGGTTATAAATTTTTGGCACATAATTGGAACTTTTTAAATCTATTTTCTCATATCTATAGATCAACAACAAATAATATTATTCAAATAAGTGTAAAGCGTTTTTGATGAATTTTTCAAAATGTGCAAAGTTTATCTATATTTGATTAGGCAGTTCTAAACTTCTTAAAAGCTGCCATATACACAATCAATTTAGTCAACCCCCACCCCTCTCCCATCAACACACACACAAACACACCTTATTTGCCTGTTTTTGGAAATAGGCCTAGATGGCAAAGTTAAGATAAAACATCTTCCGTAAACATGGTAAATGATAATTTTCAATTTGTTCTTGCACTATACATGTATTTGAACACCTGCATCACATTGGCCTTGCGTCACGTACCCAACTTAAGTACTAGTTTTACCATTGGCATTATCATTTTTAGATTTCACTGCACGTGCAGTAGGCTACTAGTGTGGTATACACATCATTGCATATATGTCAGTAGGAATTATTTCATTTTGTGTTTTAATTGGATTATATTTCATGAAGATTACAGGACCTAAATAATGACAATCGGTAAGTACAAAGTTTTGGTATAGATTTGGGTAAAATAGTCTGAAATGCAAACGGTTAGGTTCAAGTTTAAAGGATCAAAGGTCATCCGATGCTGCAATAGACGAATTTGACATTCTGAAGAGTTATCCCCCGTTATCAACGTTACATTCAGTTAGATCTACAAGATCCAGAATTTTTTTCTGGGACGGGAGGGAGGGGGGTTTCCAGACCAGAATTTCCCGAGAAGCAAAAAAAAAAAAAAGAAGTTATGTTTTGGTCTGTTTTCTAAGGTGGAGGGACACTTAGGGCATCCAAAGTCATTTTTATTTCCTCCAGTATATATTATAGTCCTGAAAATTCCGGGGGGGGGGGGAGGTGGGGGTTGAGAGGGCGACCTCCCATTCCACTCCCTGTGCCTGTAATGACAAATGATCATGTGACTCCTAAATAGTTGGAAAGTTTTTCCATTTGACTATCCATAATTTTGTTTCTTGTGTTATTATGTTATGTAAATTTAATGGTATAAAGGTTATGAACCCCTGGAGGTCATTCCCACTCTCCTAATGTCAGCTGGAAATGTTCACAATATGACTGCATTAAATTAAATAAAAGTGCATCAATGATAAGATTACTTGACATTTTATTCATGAATTTGTGTCAACCTATCTTCCTAGAATTAGGAATGAAAATCATTCAGAGATGGACCACATTAAACTATTTGTATAATTTTTTTTTTAATGTAATACAAGTAGTAGTTTGCATACATAAACAAACAGGGGTCTGGGAAGGGGTGAGGGGAAGGATCGAGTTAATATTTCTTTATGTCTTAATGGTTGAAAACTCCTAAAATGAATGTTGACCTCAAATCTAACTTGTCCTCATTATTTTTCAAGTGGTGGTGTCTCCATATGAGTGAAAAATTCCTGAGAGGGATGTTTAACAACAAACAAAATGACATAAAAACACAATATTGATTTGCGTTAAGAAATATGCAGGAGATTTTTTCCATCATAATTCTTCTTCTCAAGAACAGCAAGGGCATTATTGTCCTCTGTTTTGGGGAAAGGGAGGGGATGTTAAATCTCATTTGTCTGTCAGTTTGTCCATCTTATTGACAGCTAGTATGTGCATCTGTCACAATAAATTTAACCTTGGTCATAACTTTTGAATAATAAGAGATGGTGCTTTCATATTTCACATGAACATTACCACAAAACTTTCTAAATAATACTATGATTTTTTAACCCAAGTGAGACCTTGACCTTAAAGTTTTACCTACTTTCCAAAAAATAACATTTTAAATTGATCAATTTGAAAGAGAAAAGAAAGGGCATTCAAATTATACATGTTTATTACATGTGAAAAGACTTTTCTAAATATATCATGACTTTTGACTCTGTGACCTTGACCTAGAAGTTTAACCTACTTTTCAAAAATATTATATTGTATATATATAAATTTTGATTCAAAAGAGATAGGACTTTCATATTTGACATGTACATTACCTGCAACAAAATGTTTCAGAGCATGCTATGATTTTTCCCCTTTGACCTAATTTTTAAAAATTGATATATGATATGGGTGCATATTTGACACATAATCTGCCATAAATTATGGCATCCCATTCACTAAAACACAGAAAGCAGAGGACCACAATTCTTTGAATTTGCTTGTATAATCTTGATAGATGGAAACATCCTCATATAATGTAGATTCAAGTTTTTTATGCCACACCATGATTAAGAATACATGTATAGTTTTTGTCATGTCCGTCCTCCACCCTTCCATCTGTCTTTCGATTGGGCTTAAAGAAACTTTCTAGATATTTTTATCAAAGTTCATAAGTTGATGCATACTGATGTAAATATCCAATTAAATTACTGTTTAGCTTTATTTTAAAGAAACCATTCAAGTTGTGTAATGAAACTTCACATGATGATACATACTTATGTAAGCTTTACAATGCTTCACTCTTTTTTACCTTGACCTTTTCTGTGACCTTGACCTCACTTTTCTAAAATTAATGTCTAGATCAGTTTTGAGTAAACAATTCAAAATATATTTATCAAACATCATATGCTGATACATATTGCTGAGAGCTATTAATACATCAACTTATTTTGACCTTGAATTTTCCTTTGACCTTGACCTCACTTTTTAAAATATGTGTTTATCTAAGTTTTAAATAAACCATTAATTATACAGTCCCTGAAACGTTCTACTTTCCCATTTTTCCGTTCGCTCACCGTTCGTTCACCGTGCGTTCAGCGTTCGTTCACCGTTCGTTCAGCGTGCGTTCACCGTTCGCTCTTCGTTCACAGTATTGCGTTCACCGTTCACCGTGCGCTCGCGTTCACCGTTCACAAAACGTTCACCGTTCGCTCTTCGTTCCGTTTACTTTGCGTTCACCTTGCGTTCACCGTTCACTTATCGTTCAGTCTTCATTGTCATTCGGAACTCCGAAGTGAAAGGACTTATCTTTTGATGGTAAGGATTTACTTGTTTTTTTTAATTAAATAACTTAGATATCGTGTTTGAAGAATAATTATTTCATTGCAAAAATTATCTATGATATTTATTTTTCTATTATTATAACTCAGCTGTTACTTATTTCATGAATTTTCCCTGGAAAATCATTAATACATTAAGTACCTACATGTATGTAGAACGATGCTAAAATATTAAATTAAAAAAGGGCAATGTACAAATGCTTCACGCACGGCATCAATTTGATGTAATTTTAAATTGGACAAATTATTAATGGATGTATAATAATTAATCGAAGTCTTATACAGGACAAGAATACATAGAAAAATTACTTCTACAGTAATACATATTTAAACTGCATGTAGGTTTGAGAATTATGAACAGTACTGCAAATATTCAGTTAATTAAATTTCTTTAGAGCTAATTAAATTGATGGTGTGGTTTTAAATTTTAGAAAAGACCAACTGTTTAAAATTGTCTATTATTAGAGAAGAAAAAATCCTTCCTTCACCTACCTAAACATATGTTTAAAAATATGATTTTTTGCTACTCAATATAATTAAGACCCCCCCCCCCCCCCGGGTGCCTTTTCTCCCGAAATAAAATTCTTATTGAGTTTTTTTTTTCAGTATATTTTCATTAATATTAAATTTTTATTGTAACACAAGAAAATCAGACTTAAAACCAACATCAAACAGTCATTAAAGAATAGTATTTTAGTATAAACTTGTGCCGACAGTAGTATTTTAAATTGGCGGGGAATATGTTTCAAATTCAATTTAAAACTTAATCCTTCTAAATATATGTTAAAATTATTTTTTTTCTGCAGGAATGCAAAAATCAGATCTAGAAATGATAGGGAAAAATATTAAAATTTCTTGGACTACTAATATAAGTGACTCTTTGCCTTCGGCATGTTCAGTGAAACGCGATTTCCACACCTCCACTGTGTCGAATTATTTTGATTGACAGCACCAGCACACTACTAAATATGTAGCACGGACTTCCTGTGAACTGTGTGAATTTGATGATGGAAAATAAAAGCCAATGATTACTGTCAAGTGGATTTGTTAATCTATTAAAAAAAGATTTCCTTTATTGCTTGGAATATTTAGGAAAAATAATTAGAATTTTTATTTGATACAACATATATCTGAGAATCGCGAGGGTTATCTCTCTCTTTTACTCTCTCTCTCTCTCTCTCTCTCGTACATATCTCTGTTCAATAAAACTATGACAACACATTACTTATTTAGTTTGGAACATTTAATCTACACATGTATTACAAATAATTCGAATGCCTCTTTCCAACATCTTGACCGAGTATAATCACGGCCGGGAAATGTCTACAGATACATGAAGAAGTTAGCTAAAATAATAAAAGAATAAAAA